GCTAATGGCTGACGTGGGCATTCCCAAAATAATCATTAGTGACAGAGACCCCAAATTCACATCTGAATTCTGGAGAAACTTACATGATATGTTAGGAACCAAATTAGCTTTCTCCACTGCTTATCATCCTCAGACTGATGGCTTGGCGGAAAGAATGATACAAACCCTAGAAGACATGCTCAGAAGATTCTGTTCATTTGGATTTGAGTTCAAAAATCATGATGGATATACTCATGACTGGGTAAGCCTACTACCTGCCTTGGAAATAGCTTATAATAGTAGCATACACTCCTCTACCAAAGAAGCTCCTTATATACTTGAGAGAGGATGGATCCCCCAGATTTACAATACCATATAGAAATTTACTTACCATTTACAAGTCCCCTACACTTGTAATTAGCCTAGTTATTACTATTTTTACTGTTATTAAGCCTCAAGATACCTCAAGAAACTCCACAGTTATCACCCAGCACCCAAAATCAACCTTTCTGAGCGCTCCCAACTGTCCTGTTTCAACTTTGAAGATCCTCAAGACCCCTTAGGATTATTACTAGTAAGTAATAACCCTTTTTCTTGAGATTTTCCCCTTAAATTCTTCCTGGGATTTAAACCACACCTGTTCACAGGCCCCAGTGTTCCAGGTACCTAAATCCTCTGCTTTTGCACGATACCTTAGAGGGATTAAACCACCCCTGATTCATCAGGCCCCTCTGGTTTTATTTATATTAATTTTATTAATATAAATTGGCCATTTTTTCCTATTAATTAAACCCATAAATTCCCTTATTTTATTGGAATTTATTCCTTTAAAATTAAAACCAAAAATCTATAAGCTTTTTGTTTACTTTTGCACCACGTGTAGCTAGAAGATTTTACATCTTGGCATCACGTAGGCTGACACCGGTAAAGGCAAACGTAAGTGGACAGTGCAGCAAGGAATGCCAAAGCAAGAAAAAAATACCAATGGTAGAGGATAGCCGTGCTATTATCTGTCCAGCAGCCAATGGTGAACACGCTCGAGCACTGATGGGCCCAAATAACAGTCCTCAAACCCCAGAAACCAAGAAACACAACAGTGGCCCTAGAGGAGATGATTCGTAGGCGCAAGAATTTGACGAACCTGCACTGTTCTTGTGCAACAATGTGATTGAGCCAATCATTGTCAAAATTGCGGAGTAGAAGTCATCAAATGCGGCCTTATCCGGCGTATCCATCAAATGCATTGCTCCTCCGTCGCCCTGAAAGGCCAAGGCGGCCATCTGAATTGAGTAATAAATTACCTGACTGAATCTATGGGCGTCGGTTGGACGAGGCTGTACAAATTGGCGCGCAAGCTTTACGAACAAAGCTTCGTTTGGTGTGGTAAATAATACTGTGTTTCTACGCAGAAAATATAAAAATTTCTTATTATCTCTTTATACATTCATGATATGGTAAAAATGACATCAAAAATGGAATCCTCAGGTAAAATAACCCCTAGTCACTCACTACAACCATACCCTTATCTCTTATAGTTTGGAAGTTACACAGATTTCAACCTGTCACAGGATATTTTTTGGATTCTTCACTCTAGCCATAGTCATTATGAATACAGGATGCATATTTCATACTGAATTCCTTTGTAGTAAATTGAATACCTTTACTTTATTTTTAATCCCTTTGTATTAGTGATATTGCATGTATGCATCCCTTTGATCATACATATGCGTCCCTTTATTCATTCATATGCATCCCTTTGTAGTAGTATCTCACAGCCTGTACCCTGGGGCCAAAATCCCTCACATTTGTCTATATAAGGAGGCCTCTGCCTGCCAGTTGTTCCCTCCATCATTGTAAGACTCAAAAGTGGTTATGAAAACCCTTTTGCTGAATGGAGAAGGGTATGTTGGAGTTGCAAGCTCTGCCCTTCTATGCTATCAGAATAACAAGACCACCAATTTCAGCTTGGCAATTTTATATATCGTGATAGGGATAAGTTCGAGATGAAGCTGCCGATTGATATGTGTGAGGGCATAAAGATGTTATTGTTATATTGATGAAGTTGTTGTTGATGAATATGGTACAGGGCACTTTTTGTTTATGATGATGATGAAAGTGTTAAATCTGTATCTCAATGTGTATAAATCTGTAATTTTAATGTGGCTATGACTTGTAGTTATGAAATAATATATAAGATGGATTTATTTATAAGGGTGGTTGAGATGATCTGGTCCACTGGTGGGATGATGGAGGGAACAACTGGCAGGCAGAGGCCTTCTTATATAGACAAATGTGAGGGATTTTGGCCCCAGGGTACAGGGATGCATATAAATGAATAAAGGGACACATACACCATGGGGCGGGTTTTTAGAAAAACCCCCCAGCAAACGGATGGATTCCGTCCCGAGCGCCCGCAACTTGGTTGCGAAGCATCCAACGGACGCTCGGGCGGGCCTGGCATCATTTGGACGCTTCAGAAAGCGTCCAAGGGATGCTTGGCAGGCGAGACCATCCAGAGGATGGTGTACAGCCCGGTGTCCATCGGACACTTGATTGGGAGTGTCCGATGGACAACAAGAAAACCATCAATCGGACACTTCTCAGAGTGTCCAATTGATGGTTTTCACCCGGGTCCGGCAGTGGAAAAAAAAGGGTCGATTGTCGAAAAATTATTCAAAAGGTGGTTGATGGTCGAAAAACGATCCAAAAATGCAGTGCGGGGTATGTAGTTGACTCTTTGACCAGTGGAATATCAAGAATCTAGTATAGTCCAGTGGCAAGGTACTGCCTCTGTGGAGTTACTGGAGGCAGCACCTGGAGGTCATGGGTTCAAACCCAGGCCTGGCATTTTTGCCCCCAAGGGCTTCTAATCCTACCATCCGATGGATGGTTTGGCCCTACCATCCAGGTTCAGCAATATGCAAGTCGCATCCAATGGATGCTCCTTGCAGGGCCAAGGTCGGATGGCATCTGGTACATCCGATTGGGTGTCCAAATGCCATCCACCACGCCCGGTGGTGTATGTATGATCAAAGGGATGCATACATGCAATTTCACTAATACAAAGGGATTCAAAATAACATAAAGGTATTCAATTTCCTACAAAGGAATTCATTATGCAATATGCATCCTGTATTCATAATGACTATGGCTAGAGTGAAGAATCCAAGAAATATCCCATGACAGGTTTAAATCTGTGTAACTTCTAAACTATAAGAGATAAAGGTATGGTTGTAGTGGGTGACTAGGGGTTATTTTACCTGAGGATTTCGTTTTTGATGTCATTTTTACCATATCTTGAATGAATAAAGAAATAATAAAGAAATTTTTATATTTTCTGCGTAGAAACACAGTATTATTTACCACATCATCCCACCAGTGGACCAGATCATCTCAGCCACCCTTATAAATAAATCCATCTTATATATTATTTCATAACTACAAGTCATAGCCACATTACAATTACAGATTTATACACATTGAAATACAGATTTAACACTTTCATCATCATCATAAACCAAAAGTGCCCTGAACCATATTCATCAACAACAAATTCATCAATATAACCAGTGGTGGGCCGCTAAGCTACAGGCCCATATAGCGTTAGCGTAGCGGCTCCATTTTTTTTTTTAATTTTCCATGTAGTGTTAGCGCGCCAGTACTGCCGCTGCGCTACGCTAACTTGTAGCGGTGCTAACACTAGCCAAATTTTGGTGTAGTGTTAGCGCACCGCTGTGTACGCTACGCTACAGCGTTTTTAGTGGCAAAAACCGCCTAAAAACCACTAAAAACGGCTGTAACCAGTTTTTTGCGCCCTGTGCGCGTAGCGTTAGCGCACATGGGGGGGGGGAATTGCACTAACGCTACGCTAAACGTTAGCGCAAATTTTTCCCCCATGCGCGTAGCGTTAGCGCAGAAATTGAAAAATGTGCTAATGCTACACCACATTGTAGCGTTTTTTTGCTACACTACGCTACGCTAACGCTACAGTTAGCGTAGCTGGCCCACCGTTGATATAACCAACAGTCAATAACATCTTTATACCCTCACACATATCAATTGGAAGCTTCATCTCAAACTTATCCCTATCACTATATATAAAATTGCCAAGCTAAGCTTGGTGGTCTTGTTATTCTGATAGTATAGAAGGGCAGAGCTTGCAACTCCAACATACCCTTCTCCATTCAGCAAAAGGGTTTCATAACCACTTTTGAGTCTTACATCGGGGATAGTTTAGCATCATGTGTGCCACTGCAGTGAATGATCTTCTGCAAGTAATCTTGGTTGACGTTTGAACAAGATGGATAGCATGAGGCCACGAGTTGAAAATCGTAGGACCTGAAGGCATCAAAACGTGAGTTATTTGCTGTTTCTATGCAAAACAAAGGTAATGCTCACATGTTTCCGTTCAAAACCTGGTAAATTTAGAGATATGGAAACCAGTCTCTGCAAAACCAACCAAACAATCAAACATAGATTTATCAACCAAAGGTTGTCCTGGTAGACTCAATTTTGAAAGAAGTTTGCAAGTATTTTTGAGTACCAGGAGAGATGTAGTGCTGCCCAGCCATCTAGTGTAGGGCACGACCAATTTAATGGCATTGGGTGTGAGTAAAGAAACATTATTCTTGGGAGACAATACAGTTCGTGCAGCTGAAATAGCCCAATTCTTTTGTTTTGTTTCATCTGGCACCTCTTTGTCCTCTGAGATATAGAGTTCTGATTAGCGATTTGAACTCATGGACTGGTGATGAAAGAAAGGGACTCACTCTGGGTATTCATCTTTTTGAACCGGTTACTAAGTAGCTCTACCCAGGTCTTCTTGGGTGGGCTATTGGTGATGGCTTTCTGAGTTTCTAATTTTAAAGGGTTCGTATCAGCCTCCTGTCATTGAAATATTTGTGTGGGGATTGATTCAAGCTCTGGTGTATCATCAACTTCTTTGCAATTGGATCAGACGAGACCTAAGTGCCAGATGTCTGATAAGGATTGGATGTTTGGTGTTCTGGGCTGGGATGGCATCAATGTGGTCTGCGGGAGATTTTTGTTGTTTTGAGAGGCATTGGGGAATGCCAGGAGCTCTTCTTGTTCATCGCCTTGCGAGTCGAAGTTGTAGGAGGTGACCAAAGCATTTGGTGGAAGCACCTGTTTGGTGGGAGTTTCTGGGAAGTATGCTGAATTAAGCGACTTGAGGCGGCGGCATGATGGTGGAAGAGGAAGTTTTGATGATTTGTTTGCCAGACATGGGGATGATGCAACTCGTTTGCAGGAACTTCAAAGTAAATATCCTGAGGGATGAACTGGCTGCTGTAACACTGGAGTGCAGGGTGCTTGATGGCCATGCTTGTGCATGTTCACGGAAATGAGGGAACAGATAGTGTGCAGGGAACGGCAATAGTGCAGCAAGCACTAATCCTGAGACCTTCTTAATCATGGCCCCAAGGAGAATCTAGTGTTTATTTGCACAGCTTCCAAGGTTATTCTCACGTGTATTAGACCCCACAACTTGACACTTCTGAGACCCTGCTAGCAATACATGATGAACAAGGGAGTGTCTGTGGGTTCAGTCTTTTGGCAAAGATGGGCTCACCAACATTTCAGGTATGGGGAAAGTTTAACCTATACTCTAGAAACTTAAGTGGAAGAAGGGGCCGGCTTACAGATCTTCAAGGGACCGCAAAAACAAAGCTGATTTTTTTTCTTCTGGTGTACATACATGCCAGATTAAATAGACCTCCATTATAGCTGTGATTTTTTTTCTTGCTCTAATCAAAGACAAGCATTTTTACTTCCAAAATTTATACAGGGAAAAAGGTGTTTTGAATTAGGGATGGGTAAAAATGGAAATATAAATGCCCCTAAGCATCCAATAAGGTTATGGGCAGGATGAATATATCAAGTGAACCTTCTTGGGGTTCTTGAGTTTGAAAAACAACAACATTTACAAGACACATTCTGATTCCCCAGTTCAACAAAGAAAGCCTTGATTGTAAGGTTAATCAGCCCCTTTCTTCTGGCTAAAAAGCTGCAACACTATTTCATCAGGCCCAAACAGTGAATTCTTGCATGGGGTAGCTGATGAGGGATCATGTTCACCTGCTAGATTGCTTTATATCACTCTGGTTCATCTTAAGTCTTTTGCTTTTGATTTGTAATAGGCTACTCACTCTGCAGTGGTCAGAATTCCTATGGGTGTGTAAATGGGTAATGATCAGGAGGATTGTATCAAGTGAACCTTCCTGTCCATTTATGGGCTCAAAACATTTAATGGAATGTGGAAGAGGGATTTGTATTTTCTTGGTCCGCTAAGCAACCTTTCATTGTGAGGTGATTGATGAATTTCATTCTGCTGCTAAGAAGGCTGCAACAATATCTTATGAAAAACAAATAGTGCATCTGTACACCAAAAAAACTGATGGGTTATTCTTTTCCACTTTTCAGGTTCAATAATGATCATTAAAGTCCTGGATAGAAATTTGCGCTATTAGGTTCCCTCAAACTAGTGTGGCTGCCATCTGGACTGGGTTTAGTTGTCAATTGACTTGATGAGTCAAGGCTTTTCTATTGAACTGTGCAATTTTGTGGTAAATGATGACTCAAATGGGTGTTTGAACCCGCAAATACTGCAGGAATTCCCTCTTGATGAATGATCTCCAGGCTTCTAAGTGGGACTTCCTTGAAGGCTGTGACCCTCATTGTGAGAGGAAATGTTGGCAACCAAGTCAAAAATCATTTGAAATGATGGTTCATAGTTGTCAGCCACAGAGTACATGTCACAGTACCTTTCATGTACCAAGTAACTGCAACACCTGTACTTATGTACATAAGTACTTATCCATAATGTTGATTACCTTTACCTCTTGTTATCTTATCTTTATTATTAACTTATCTTATTTATCTTATATTTATCTTATCTGTTAATTACTTATCTATTAAATACATACCTTTGTTCTACATAAGTAATTATCACTTACCTTTCACTCCTTTGTCCGTGAAATATCTGTACCACAAGTTATCCCTCTTCTACAGTATTTTCAGGGTCAAATATTATTACAAATAAATATGTACATGTATTAAATAGTAAGTATTAAGTGTCAATAGAATTAATACATTCAATACATGCACTGATCACAATTATGACTACATTATTAGAGGATCTGTTAAGTACACGCATCAAGAGCAACTAGTACATGGATCAACTAGTACACAATTATGATGTCACTTACAGATCATGACAAATAATGATCAGTCACTCAATTGATGTGCTCATTCTCCTGGCCAAAGCTCCCTTGATTCTGAGCGCTCATTCTTTCCCTCCTTCAATATTCTGGAACTTATAATCCGTGCCCCTTTCACTGATTAATCCCCAGAATATTCAGACACCAGTTAAACCAGTTAAAATTTATATTGATACAGTACACGTAACCAACATAAATCTTGTCTACATTTATTGTTCTTAAGCTTCAGTACTCTTACTCAACTTATCCACAGTATTCATAGCCTTGCTGAATATTCCCATTAACAATACCTGTTAATCTCACATAATTTGGTCAAAGCCTCATAAGTATTGTTAGCCCATTCCCTTTCGGGGAATACCAAAATCAATCCCAGTGAGTCTTAGTACCCTGGATGCCTATTAATACCTTGTATTGATCCGGATGCGCTGTTGATAGCAAGCCTCTCAGTAAAGACCATACTGATAGAGTGAAACCTCCTCATTACAGGACTGGTATTAATCACCCACTACCTAACACTCACCACGCTCAAAAGCTTCAGTCAACTCATAGTAACAACCTTTTTACTATTAAATACTCAGGTTAGTTACCCAGAGGCTGACAATAGTCCTCTGTCACCTCAAAGCTTGGTAAACCTACTCATAATGCTCCCTGTGAACTGGATGTTATGAGATGATGTTCTATGGTTCTTTGCCAACCATAAGCTTAGAAAAGCCAAAAATTGTCCTCACAGATGATTACTTGCACTATATGGATGCCAGATAGTAGTGTCACAGCCTTTTGAGCTGGGTATGGGTGCAGTTGAGCTTGATGATTAAAGGTAGTTGTGTTTCACTGTGCCAGGGGATATGATCCCCATTTTCTCATTGAGACATAAGGGCCCCCAAATGTTCCAGAAAGCCCCCTTGATGTAGGATCTACAGCCTCTCTACTGGAACATCCTTATAAGATGGTTGACCATGCCAGGGATGGGATATGTTGGCAAACAAGCAAGAAATGATATGAGATGAAATTTTGTCGTTCTGGAACCAAACATTCATTGTATTCACTGATGAAAAATCACACTATTTTGATGCCTGAAAGTGGTGTTGCAGCCGTTTCCGCTGGGTATGGGTGCAGTGGAACTTGATAATTAAAGTTTGTTGTGTTGACCTGCAAGAGTATATGGTCCCCAATGACCCATTGAGTCATTAGGATCCCCATATGTTATAGAAATATCTCCTTGATGCAAGATCTCCAGCCTCCTGACTGTAACATTCTTGAATGGGGCTCCACACCTATGGGGAGAAGACATGTTAGCAAACAAGGAACAAGGTTGTGGAGATGATAATTTATGGCTCTTTACCACCCGCAAAACTTGAGGAAACACCACTCATTGTGCTCACAGATGGAAACTTGCGCTATTTGGATGTCAAAGTAGTGTTGCAGCCATTTGGGCTGGTTATGGTACATGTCAGCCTGCTACTAATTAGAGCCAGCCTGAACATAGCATTTACTTATAAATTAGAGATATTATTACTTACATATGTACAGTGCCTAGACAGTGGAAAGTGGCTGCTTAATTTGGATTCCAGAGCTCCAAGACACAAATTTGAAATCATGAGACTTGGTCAGGTGGTGCATAATAGTTTCCAAAAGATGAATATGAAAAAATAAAAGAAAAAAATAAAGTTTCAAAATGTGTGAAAAATAAAAAATAAAATTGATTTTTTTCAAAAGCTTTGATCTTCATTTTGGGGGAGTGGGAGTGCTGAGAGAAAGAAAGATTGGGAAATAAGAAGAATGATTATAAATGAAAATTTTGGAAAAAATGGTTTTCAGATGGCTTCAAACAGCTGTTTAGTGGG